CCCGCCAAGGTCAAGGTTTGGGCGGCTGGGGTGGGAATACTAGCTACGCAGAGCGAGCGCAATGGGGAGGGGCAGCGTGAAAGAAGCATGGGTAGCTGCCCCGTGAAGAGGCGCGAGCGACCCCAGCGCAAACCCTAAACCCTAAACCCTAATCCCTAATCCCTAAACCCTAAACCCTAAATCCCAATCCCTAATCCCGAAACCCTAAATCCTAATCCCCAAACCCTAAACCCTAAACCCTAAATCCTAAACCCTAAACCCTAAACCCTAAACCCTAAACCCTAAACCCTAATGGCCAAAAGATGAGACTCAGCCTCTGAAGCTCTGGCCGGGGCGACTGCAAAAGGGCGTACTTTACGGTTTAGGGTTTAGGGTTTAGGGTTTAGGGTTTAGGGTTTAGGGTTCAGGGTTTAGGGTCTAGGGTTTAGGGTTTAGGGTTTATCTACCACGGCTCGCTGGGTGACAGTGTAGATGCGCGGAGTGAAGCTCTGTTCGCTTCTGGTGCCAGCTGCGTTACATCATTCATCTCATATCCTTTCTACAAGAAGCTTGAGCCCCCTCCAGTGCCCGCAGGGTTTAGGGGTTAGGGTAGCTGTTAAGCCCTTGTAAGTTTATTTCGAATCGAAACATGCTGCATGTCGCCTTGAAATCTTTGAAGATGCTTGTCCTAGAATCCAGAAGGTTGGACCGTGTGCCTAAAGCTCAAGACCTTTCGCACCAAGGCCCAAAAATCTAAACCCTAAACCTGAAGCCCTAAAGCCTACACCCCTGAGGACCTGTCCACACATTTCAGCTGCAACAAGCGCATACAGCGGCTGCAATGCAAAAAAAACACGGGAACGGGTACTCCGCAGGCACAACCAGATGCATCAGAATTGCGAGGCCACAGGCGGGCCCAAAGGCAAATCCAAAAGCACGCCAGAACCTGTCTTGAAGCCTTACCAGCATCAGCGTTCTCATCGATGCTCCAATTCCGACATCCAAGAGCAAAATGAGTCTGTCAACACTGATGCGGGTGGGGACCCGGATTTTTGCAATGCTCATGCCGAAAACGTAGAAGACGTAGAATAGGCATACCGCATATAAGGCTGCGCGACGTTTGCGCGCGGGCAGTGGCACATGTTGTCTTCAAATGTATCCCTCGATTTCAAGGTTTCTGAGTGTGTGGCGGAGCTGCCGTCGTCTTTCTCTGTTTCAGTGGCTGTCTCGGGTAGATATGAACCATCAGGCGGCACAGCTTCGTTGCAATATCTGAGCAGCATCAAAGACAAATAGCCGGCATACCAAATCCAGAAGTAAGCTGCAACGAGTGTCGCAGCCACTCCACATGTACAGACGTACAAGACGATGGCAAGCAGAAACATTAAAGCCGTGCTGCCAGTTGTCCAAGCAAAGGTCATAATGCATGATCGACTAGGATTTCGCGCCGCTGATAGTGCATAGTGGACGTAGAGAAAGCAACACAAACCTAACATTTCGGAAGCTTCGGCTGCAACCCCTACGACAGATTCCGCGTCCCGCCGGAACATTGCCCAGGAGGCACTCAGGATCAGCATAAGGTATGCAGTCTGCTCCGTGTAAAATCTCTCAAGCTGCACAGCATCAGCATATACAAGACTCAGAAGAATCAAGCCCCAAACCTCGAGCAAAGCACTAAAGGTGCTTTCGTGCTCTGAGTCCAGCAGCCCTTTGACCAACTGGTATGGACTGTCGGACTCCAACGTCTCCTCGTACATCCAGGCGGCATACTGGTCCAAGACAGAACCTGCCAGGGTTTGGGGCTTTGGGCCTTAGGAAACCTTTGGGCTAAAGGGCCATTTAGGGGCATGTCGGGGCGTTTAGGGGCATTTCGGGGTTAGGGTTTAGGGCTTAAGGGTACCCGGTCTTAAGGTCCGGGTTTTTAGGCGTTTTCTGTTTTGGGGTGTTCAGGCCTGTCAGCAAGAGCCATATGCCGAGACGCTCGCAGAGTTGGCTCTCCGTCAACTCACCTTTGACCAAAGCAAAATACCCAAAAGAAAATAAGGCGTTCCCTGGCACCCAGAGCAGCAGAGATACTCGATCGTCCTGGTCCGCAATACACAAACTCCACCAGCCGTCCCAAATCAAGAATGCATTGCAAGTCAGGCACAGGCACAATCCTGCCACCTCAATTAGCACCGTCCGGTCTGATAATTCGTCCCAGTGCCGGTGCATAGCAAGGCAGATCAGTGCGACGGCAATGCAGGTCACCAGCGCGGCTGCCCCGTCGCCAACATGCAGCTGTGACATCGAACATCCGGGCAGCGGCATGGCCCAGAATTCTATGCGTGTCGGTGTGAGACTAATGAGAATATTACGTCAAAAACCTGGCCGCGGGCCAGCTGCGAGCGCACGGCGACGAAGGATGCAAGATCGCTGCTAAAGCGACGAAGTACGGGCAGAACGTCAAGCGCGACCCTTAAACGATACCTTGTCAAGAAACATGAACCGTACGGCAATGATGTAAAACAAAGCAACAGCCAAGCTCGTTCACGCACGACCTTTGCCTCACGCTTCGCAACTGCTGTTCTGAAGCTAATGCCCTCAAGGGAACAATAAGTAATAAGCCCTGAACCCTAGGCCCTAAACCCTAAACCCTAAACCCTAAACCCTAAACCCTAAACCCTAAACCCTAACCCTTAACCCCTAAACCCTAAAACCACCAAGGCTTAAGGTTTCGAGAGGCCTCTTGCCTGCCAACTCCCTGAAGTCTCGTTGCGAACCCGTCCTTGACCAGAAAACGCAATCCGGGACCTGCACAGTGGCTGAGGGCTCTTGGTACGGTTTAGGGTTTAGGGTTTAGGGCTTAGGGTTTAGGGTTTAGGGTTTACGGCTGATGGACAAAATCCTGCATGACCTTATTTGCCTAAACCTATGGGACTTATGGTACTATACTATATTTGGGTCATGCAGAATTTTGTCCATCAACGGTATCTACGGCAAAACAGCCACAGTCATCATGAAACATCTCCTACCAACGAGTGCCCACGCGCTGCAGGCTCACCAGCCGAGAGAGACGACAACCACTCTCGTCAGTACGAAGTTTACAACTCGCTCCGCAAAGTGCTGGTAGGGTTTCGATTTGGGAGTTTAGCGTTTAGGGCTTAGAGTTTAGGGTTTAGGGCCTAGGGACCTTGACCACATAAGCCAAACCCAGTACCCCACATCCAAGATCCAGAAGTCATTGCTTGTAAGCCCTCAAGGCGATCGCAAAAACCCGAGACCTAAAAGACTGAAACCTAGTTAAAGGAAACTACAGGTGG